GGAAGCTCCTAGAATAATGCCCCTGGTGGGCAGGAGGCTGGCGGCAGCAGTATTTATCATTGTCTAGGTTATCTTTCGAAAGAGGTGCAGATGCAAGCTTGCTTTCCCTTCAGAGAGGCCCAGTAGTTTTGATGCTAAGAGCACAAACCTGGTGCTTAGCTCTGAAGCATCTTCTGCTCTATCTAAATCCCGAATAACACAGGATCACAACGTCCTCCTCTTCTGCAGTATCATGTCCTTTGGGGTTCAAAGAACTGTACTTTAAAAATGCTAGCCATACTATAAATTCATTAACTATAATTTGGAAAATAGAACAGTGTTACTTGAAGCCAGCTGCCTCCTGATCTTCCGATGTGTGTGTTTCCTGTCTGCGGGTGTTTTTTAAAAGCCTGCTTTTAGCACAGTCAACATTATGAATAAGTTGGTACCCTGCTTTTCTTTACTTAGTGTAATGATGTAAGCATGTTTAACATCACCACGGACTTCATAACATTACTTTTAATATAGGAATATTCGTTCAGCTGGAATGTCATGGTTTTCTTAATTTCTTAACGGGTGTAAATCGAACTGCGATAAACATCTATCTGCTAAGACTTTTTCTGTGTTTATGATGATTTCCTTAAGATCTGTTTTCAGGTGTGGAATTATTGGGTCAAAGAGTCTGATCATTAAAAGTATTTTAAGACGTGTGTCTACGTTGCTTTCCAAAGAGGTCACTTGAGTCTCTCCCGCGCCCCTGCTCCACGCCTGGGGCCTCACATTTGTATTTATCCACTTGTTATTTAAGAGGAAAAATATTTCCCCACGCGCTCTCATTGCATTTTCTTACTTGAAATTTTCGAGTTGACTTTTTAACCTGTTTTTACGTAGCAAGTTCAGCGCGTTTTCTGCATTAAAGATTTCATGGTCCTTGCTTGTATTTCCTGCAACTATTTTTTGCAGCCTCTCGTTTGCCTTTAATTTTGTTTTTGTCAGAAGATTCCCTGCCATGGTCTTTCTTTTTCTTTGAATTTCTATTATTTTATTGAAATTTTTTAATGACAGGAAAATCTCACAACCACATGTCGACAAAAATGAAATTCAGGTAGAATGCAATTGGCTGAGTCTCATCGTCCCGTATAGGCAGCATCCTCTGGGGAGGTGACAGGACAGAGCGTTGGCCTTCAGGCTGCAGGTATTCTTCTGGCCCAGTTAGCCCAGGGATTGCTGCTGGTCTGGAAATGCCAGCCCGGATGGAGAATCAGCCCCGGGGATGCTTAGGCCCCAGTGGACCCTGCCACCAGGTGGCACCAAACTGCAACAAACTCTGGGCCGACCCCGCAGATCCTGCAGCCTGCAGCCCTCTGATGATGAGACCCTGTGTTCCCTGCGGTAGAATCCTGGGGACCTCACTTGTGGAGATGTGGCTAGTGTTTCACCATAACTCAGAGCATTTATTTAGTGCCTGTGGTGTTCAGCATTGTGTAGTTAACATGCCTGACCTCACACAAGGTTTGATCCCCTCTCCACGGTGGAGACGGAGTGACTTACCCACGAAGCTCGCAGGGCCTGGGTGGAAGCCAGATCCTCTGTCACGGTCCTCTCTGGACAGCGTTTCTCACAGCCAGGGCGCTGGACCATCTCGTGACCGTTTAGCCCTTTCTGGGATCACAGACCTTTTCAGAGTCTGATGAAAGCTTTAGGTTCTGTTCCCAGAATCAAACAGTTTTACGGACAAGTTCAGGGCTGTTCAAGGGCTTTCTGAAGCTGTGCCCCAGCTGATTTCCGGGGATCCTTCCTGTGCCCTGGGTGTCTAGGAATTGGGCAGGGCCGAGTCTGGAAGCCAGGAAGGATGTGGGGCCGTGGGGTAGGAGTGCCCCTTTGACCTCTGCTTTCCCCCAGGATGGCGGTCGTTCCCATCGTTATCAGTCTGACCCTGACCACGCTGCTGGGCAATACCATCGCCTTTGCCACAGGGGTGCTGTACGGACTCTCCGCTCTGGGCAAAAAGTGCGTCTGCCAGGCCCAGCCCCTGGGCCGGGCTTTCCTTTCCCACCCCCTGAAGTCTCTCAGTGAGGAGGGTCTGAGAGTGGCCCCTTTAAGCCAGTGGAGACTGAGGCAGAGGCGTCGGTGACTCATTTGTGCCTCCAGCGTTCAGCTCTAGTGGGTGAAGACAGGATTCACAACACTTCTGCGTGGCCCAGTCTTGCCCCGTCACGGCCTGCAGCAAGGATAGCAAACGTAGGGCTCGTGGGCGCCCCTTCCCATCCTGGGTCTGCACTGGGCATTGCATTCCGTTGCCACCCTCTCTCCTGCAGAGCCCAGACTGAGGCTGGTTCTTTCTCAGCCCAGCATCCCAGGCAGCCTGGGCTACTCTCAGAGGCGACAAGATAGGCCTTTGTCTTCCCAACAGATGTCTCTGGGGAAATCAGAATGCCTGCAGGTCATACCTGGGTCACAGGGCAGGAACCAGGCAGTGGACAGAAGGGCCGTGGGCGTGGGGCCGGTGCTCCACGTGACGCTGCCTCTCTCTCCCCAGGGGCGACGCGATCTCCTATGCCAGGATCCAGCAGCAGAGGCAGCAGGTGGATGAGGAGAAGCTCGCAGAGACCCTGGAGGGGGAGCTGTGAAGGGCTGGGCGCCCCTCCCTCCCTGCACCTCCCCTGGCTCTGTGTGGGTCCAAGTGAGGCCTGAACGGTCCGTGCTGAGGCACAGCCTGGAGAGGGGTTTCTGCACGTGCCCCCACCTGCAGTCCTCTGCCACTTTCTCCAGACTCCAAACTGGCTTACACCGGGAGCTCCTGGCTGCTGGTGTGAGGGTCTGGACTGCTGGACTTGAGGCAGAGCTGAGCAGAGCCTGCAGCAGCTGTGTGTGGACAGCACCCAACCCTGCTCCTCTGCTGGGTGGGTCCACAGAGCTCACACCACAGACAGGGCTGCTGGTGACCTGCTGCGACCTCGGAGCAGCCTCCCTGGGAGATGCTGGTCCTGGCTTGAGGGGAGGTGTGTCAAGTAGGACCCTGCCACCGGGTACTGAGCAGAGGGACCTCACCCAGCTTTCTCGGCAGGCAGAGCCTCAGGGCCCGGGACAGCCTGCTGCTGCCCCCAACCTCCCACCGCTGCCCAGGGTGCAACGCCCACTGCTACTCTGCCTTCTGAAAAAGCCCACAGGGCTCCACAGGTGCACCCCTGTACCTGCAGCCTTGGCAGTGACTGGACACCTGGGTGGCGGGTGCCCCCTGTCAGCTCCTGGAGCCTTGGACAGGCCACCCCAAGACTCCTCAGCTGCCCTTCCCCTCTGGGCCTGCTGGGGCCCCTAGGTTCTACCCATTCCCCCCAACCCCTGCTGGCCTTGGTGCTAAGGAAGTGGGGAGAGCAGGCTCTCCCTGGCACCCTCAAGGGTGCCCAAAGTCTCCCTGGTGTGGCCCGGTCATGTCAACTGCAGCCCAGCCCTGTTAGTGGGTTAGTGGGTCTGACCTCAGCCCCGCTTAGGTGCTCTTGCCGGCCTGGCCAAGCCCTGCCCTCAGGGACCTTCTGCCTTTGAAGAACTGGGCAGAGGCCACAGTCACTTCCCCACATGGAGCTGTCCCCACTGCCCCGGATGCCAGGCCGTCAGGAAGCAGACCTGTACAGGGAGGATGCCAAGAGCTGGTGCCCAGGAAGCCCATCCCCGTCTTCCCTCTGCCAGCCTCTCTGTGAGGCTGGCTGTCGGGCAGGTGGGACCTGGCTAAGCTTGGGTGGGGCTTGGCAGAAGCAGGCGGGTGTAGAAGAAACTCTTGTCTGCGGCCGATGCCGGGCTGGGCCTGCTCTGAGCTTCTGGAGCACAGGGACTAGGTCTTGCTAAGTGGACAGAAGCCCCCTGGCTGTGCCAGAGGTTTCCCAGGAACACCTTCCAGGCCCATCTGCCTCTGAGGCCAGGAGTGGCAGGCTGGTGGGAGGGGGTGGGGTTCTTTGGGCCCTGCCCAGTACTGTCCTGGGGACTTGCTGGTGGGCTCTTGGGTCAGCAGTACCCCACCCCGGGAGCCTGGCCAGCTGAGCCCCAGAATGGCAGGGGCATTATAGCCTGGTGGACATGTGCCTTCAGGGTTCCTCTGGGGCCACCTTCCTCAGGCCAGTGCTGGGTTCCAAGGGCTATGTGTGTGTGTATATATGTATATCTGTGTGTGCGTGCACGCATCTGTCCCACATCTGCAGTGAATGACACCTGTCTACCTCCCATGAGGAGCAAGGGCCCTGCCTGCCCTCTGCTCATTCTCACCCAGGTAGTGGGCCCCTGGGTCCCCTTCTGCCTGGTCTGCCTGCTGCTGCCTCTGCCAGAGGGGCCTCACTGGCAGCCAGAGACCGCAGGAGAAGGGTTGGCTGTGGATCAAGGAAGGCTGCCCTGTGCCCTGTGGGGAAATGGTGGCTGCATGGCTGGATGCAGAGGTGGAAGGTCCTTGGCCACAGGTGGGTCACCTGTCCCAGGTTCCCAGCAATCTGCAGCTGTGTGGTCCTGGGGCCTGGATCCTGTCTCCCAGGGGGCGTGCTGTCCAGCAGGAGCCCTGCCTTGCCAGGAATGTCTCTTCCAGCAGCCTGGGTGGCCGGGCCTCCCCTGCCTTGTCTGGGCTCTGTGTGGCACCCATTCCCCCTTTTCTGCTGCTCTGTGTTTGTGTGCGTCTTGAGCAATAAAGTGCGGCCATGGCTCTCGTGCCTGCCCTCTGCTCCCTTCTGCCTTGGTGCGTGCGTGTGTGTGTGTGGAAGCTGGGAGGGAGCCACTGGCCCAGGAAGTAGCTATAGGTCATGTCCCGAAACTGCTCCCAACAGATGTCTCAGACAAGGAAAGTGACCTGCCCAAGGTCACACAGCTAGGCAGAGAGGCCTGTTAAAGGTGGGCCTCCCCTCAGCAGCCTCTTCCCTGCCCTGCTTTGCTGTGGATTAGTGGGAAGCGGCCTTTGCAGCCTTGGCTGGGAGTTGGGGTCTAGCCTGGCTGCTGCGGGGGGCTCCCCTCCTGGAGTAGACCCCACGCTTTCCTCGCCAGGGCTGCAGGCCCAGTTCCTTTATTTTGTTAAAAGGGTGAACACAGTTTGCAGCTGGGAACTGCCTATTCCCAGAGGTTGGGCTGGGGCGGGAGAAAGTGGCCAGGCCGGGTTGTTTGCCTTGGCTTTTTTGGGGGTTGGGGTAGAGTTTCACTCTTGTTTCCCAGGCTGGGATGCAATGGCGTGATATTAGCTCACTGCAGCCTCCACCTCCTGGGTTCAAGCAATTCTGTCTCCACCTCCTGAGTAGCTGGGACTACAGGTGTGTGCCACCACACCTGGCTAATTTTTTTGTATTTTTTGGTAGAGACGGGCTTTTGCCATGTTGGCCAGGCTGGTCTCGAACTCCTGGCTCAGGTGATCTGCCTGCTTTGGCCTCCCAAAGTGCTGGGATTACAGGCGGGAGCCTCTGCAGCCCGGGCTGCCCTGGCTTTTGAAGTCTGGGATGTTCCCTGTGGTGCCCAGCAGGCTTGCGGGGGCAAGGCCAGGTCTTCCTCACGCAGCCAGATGCCGCCGGATCAGAGCGCAAAGATATGATTACATTACTTGGCTGCCTCCAGCTCTGTCTTCTCGATCCTCCCCGAAGTCTTCTGTGGGGGGTGTCCTTCACACAAGGGTCAGGGACTAGGCCTGAGATCGCCCGGTGGGTTGTGTGCTCTCCTGCAGCCCATGGCCGCCTCCTCCTCTGGCGGGTCTTGGCTGGTGTCCGTGCAGCACTTTGGGCTGCCTGAGCTGGGGCTGCAGCTGGACAGCGATGCGACCTCTCCGGAGCCGGGGACACACGTTGCTGAGGCCCCATCACGCTCTCTTCCTGTGCCCTAGCTGGTGGCAGGGCTGACTGCCGTCTCTTGGTCCCAGGGTGCAGGTTTGCAGCCAACACAGAGGCCCAGCCACTGGGGGTTTGGCCCCCTCCAGGCGGGGACCCTGGCCTAGCGCAGGAAGGACCTTCTCCCCGTGCGGAAGAAGGACTCGATCTGCTCCAGGGACCGTCCCTTGGTCTCGGGCACACAGCAGCCTGTGAACACCAGGCTCACCAAGCAGATGGCCGCGAAGAAGAAGAAAGGCACCTGCAGGCCGAAGGCGCCCTGCGGGTGGAGAGGGGGCCAGGTCACAGGGAGAAGCTGCAGGGTCCTCCCAGCCCAGGAGCTCGTGGGCCCTGCGGGTAGCGGCCAGCCATGTGGGGCCTTTATCTGGTCCTTGCTGCGTTCAGAGACCGCTCCCCGACCCTCCTCTGGGGCTCCCCCACTGCCTCCAGGAGAAACCCGAAGGCCTTAGCACCATGTTTGTGGCCCTTGAAGTCTGCACCTGCTCTGCTCCTCAGCCTTCCTCAGGGGCTGGGCCTCAGCTCAGGTCCCCCCTCCACACCCCCCACCCAGCACTAGTGTCCCAGCAGATCCACGCCGCAGCCTGCTGGAGGCCTGCCCCTTGGCCTGGTGGGCACACAGGTTCTTCTTGCACCCCCTAGGCTGATGGACTCACCCTGGGTTGCCTGCCCTTCCCCCACCCCACTGCTCTGACCACTGCGGGGACAGGTTAGGCGCTGGCCCAGGCTGCCCTAGTCAGCTTCTCCCTCATGGTAACTTACCCTGGGCCTCATGGATTCTGGCTGGTTTCAGGGCCCGTAGGTTTGAACCAGGAGGCAGGCGGAGTGGGTGGGGGGAGTGTGGGAGGAGGAGGTGGGAAGGGGTGGTGGTGAGACTCCCCCCCCCACAGGGTGGGAGATGCAGCACGGTGGGGAGGTGGCTTCCTGGGCTCTTGGCAGGGTTCTGGCCGTGTCCTGCCCTGGCCTGGGAGGTGACCTGACTTCCCAGAACAGTTCCCTCAGCCTGTTCCTGTTTCTAGTAATGAAGGAGGCTTTGCCGGACTTCACTTGACCACTCTGGGGCCTCTGAGTTGAGAGGGCATGTGCTCATCTCCTAGGTCACTGAGAGTTAGCGCCCTGACATGGCAGGCCTCGGCACAGCCCCTGGCACTGAGAAGGGTCCTGGCCAGCCAGAGAGGGCCTGGGGGCCTGGGGCTGAGCACTCACCACCACTGGCAGGAAGGACTTGGTGAGGACGAAGGCGGTGAGCCAGCTGGCCAGCACGCAGAGCCCTGAGGCCACGCCACGGGCTCGTAGGGGCAGGACCTCAGACATGAGCAGCCAGGTGATGGGGCCCCAGCCCATGGCATAGCCTGCTCAGAAGGGGAGGCAGGCTCAGGCCCTGTGGAGTGGCTAGAGCAGCGTGTCTGTCCCCACTGAACTGCTGGAGACCCTCCTCTCCAGCCACCCCAGACACATCACCCACCCCTTAATGCTCAAGGTAGCCTGCCCCTCTGCGCCACCGCCACACCTACCCATGATGAAGAGCATGGTGGCCAGCAGGGGTACCAGAGTGAGGTAACTGGTGGGTGCTGCCAGGGGCTGCGCCAAGTCCCCCCAGGACACGCTTTCCAGGCCCGCTGTGCTGTTGGGGCTCACAGGCCTGGGGCCAAAGTGGATGTACAACCCCAGAGTCAGGTTGGCAGCAAACATGATGGCCGCTGTGGACAGACAGGTGGCCCTCATGGGGCCAGGACCCTCTGAGCCAGCTGCTTCTCTGGGAGCTCCTTCTGCAGAGCCCCTTGGCACCTGCGTGGCACAGCTCTCGTCTGGGACTGGAGACCCCGTGCAGGGCAGGGAACTCTGTCTCTAGCCGCTTGTCAGGTACCCACCATGGAGTGTCACAGTGACCTTTCTGGAGCCACCGGCCTGAGGCAGGCCCCTGCTGATGCTGGGAAGGCAGCTGTCCCTCTGCTCCCAGCCACATAGCCCCATCCCAAGGCAGGCCTGGGGGAACCGAGCAGGGTCACTGGCTGCACACCCAGGCCAGCCCCAATCCATGCAGGGGCAGGAGGGCTGCCTGCAGGGTGCTCACCTGAGACAAACAGCAGCACCTTACGGCCAGCGAGGTCCATGGTGAGGGCAGCGATCAGCACAGACAGGAGCCGCACGGCTCCAACAATGGCTGCGTCATCCTTAGGGGGCTGTGGGGAGGGAAGCCATCAGGGCTGAGGGACCTGCCTGTTGTTCCTGTCCCCCTCTAGGACCTAGCTTGTCCCCGCAGTCACTGCAGGGGCTCAGGCCTGTGGTTCAGGGCAGCACTGAGTGGCCTAGCACCTGCAGTGTGCTCGGCATCTCTTCTGCACATCACTCGAGCCCGCGGGGCCTCCTCGGCAGGGACACATCTGCTCTGCCCATCAGTATGCCCAGCTGGCACAGAATCCAGGCGTGAGGTTGAGTTGCCAAACCGTGCTGTTATTAATCTTCAAATCTCATCTCACTTTTGAGCATCAGGCAGGTCTATGGAGGCGGGGTGCTATCTTCGTCTTGCAGAGGAGGAAGTTGAGGTTCAGAGGGGAAGTGACTTCCCTTGTCAAGTGGCTGATGCCATATTGCTGTGAACCTGGGCTCTATAGCTTCAGAGGGTCCACGTTTCTATAAAGCTGGCTTCCTTTGTAATCCCATGTATTCAATTTCAAAAATTTCTATATGTTTTTAGAAAAGGCGTCTCACTCTGTCACTAGGCTGGAGCGCAGTGGTGCGATGGTGGCTCCCTGCAGCCTCAAACTCCTGGGCTTAAGTGACCCTCCCGCCTCGGCCTCCCAAAGTGTTGGGAGTATAGGCTTTAGCCACCATGTCTGGCCAGAATTTTATTTTAAAACATTGAAGCTTTTCTTAAAAACATTCTGAGAACAGGTGAAGGCACAAGAAATGTCTCCAAATGGCCCAGATCTTAGATTGTGCTGTGGCATCCCTGACACCTGGCACAGAGCAGGTGTGGGTAAGGGCAGGGGGTGGGTAAGCTCAGGAGCAGGCTGTCTCCCAAGCTGGGCATGCCCTGCCAGCCTCTGGGGGACTCTGTGGGTTGGGCGCCAGCCAGGGCTGGGTTCTTACCAGCAGGACAGCAGTACTGTCGAAGATGGACTGCAGGTAGACCAGGATGGGTGTGATGCCGGTCAGCTGCTGCAGGAAGCGCATCAGCAAGGCCACGGCGATGGGCCGGCACATGTGGGGGGCCCGTGCCTCAGCCCATGACACTCGGCTGCTCTGAAACACAAGGCTGCCGCTGAAGGCGTTGGGCCAGCCTCTCCAGCAGGATGGCCACCCTGCCCTGACCACCAGGGGCTGGGTGGGAGACCTCCTTTTTCCTTCCTCCAGGAAAGAACCAGTCTACCAGGCCACCCAGGCTGTGGGGACGCCTCCCACCCCCACCCAGGCACTTGGATTAGTGGGAACGACTGTGGGCCCATCGTCCAGGAAAAGCCCCCACAACCGAACGGAGCTGAGTGTCGGAGGCGGGCCTGCCAGGCTCGGGCGCACCCCTCCCGCACCTGTCTCCTGACGTTGTCCTGGATCTGCTCGAACTCCCAGTGGACGTCAGCATCTACCCCGCGCAGCCAGGCCAGCGCCTGCAGGGCCTCCTCGTCCCTGCCCCGAGAGAGCAGGAAGCGCGGCGAGTTGGGCATGAAGCTGAGCAGCAGGATCATGACGAGCACAGGCGCCTCCCCGGCCACAGCCAGCCAGCGCCACGGCAGCAGGAGGCCTGCGGGTGAGGGGCGGGTGAGGGGCTGGGTGCAGGCCTGGTAGAGCCCCTTCCCTCTGGAGCCTCTGAATAACCTCGTCTGCCCTTCAAGGTCTAGTCCAAGGGCCACCTCCTACAGGAGGCCTACCCCGATTGCTCCAGGCAGGGTGGGGCTGCAGGCATTGCTCAACCCCTGGCACATAGTGGGAAGTCCTTGGAAAGTCTTAGAGTCAGGGCAGGATGAGGAAGGGGTGGACTGGGCAGGCAAGGCCTTGGGCCCCCACCCCAGACCTCCACGCCCCCTCAACTGATTTCTATCTGGACTTCCCATCTGAGATGGCATTTGATGGAAGCTTTCTGCCGTTAAGAGATGGTCTGGTGACTGTGGCTGCCCTGGCTGCCCAGCTAGGGTCTGGGCCTGTGGCTAGAGGGGCAGCCCCTGCCTAAAAGTCTGTGGCCAGGTGCTGGCCTAGTGGGGCCGGGAGGCCAGATCTCTTGCCTGTCAGCCCAGGATCTGTTCTGGGGCAAATTCATTCCCTTTCCACCCACGTCTCCCTCGGCAGCACCCACCACTCCCGCCAGCCTGCACACAGGAGTGCAGGGCCATACTTGCCAAGGGTGTAGAGGGACAGGGATCCGAACACTGCCATGAGCTGGGGTGTGGCCCCCAGAGCCCCACGGACACCTGGGGGAGCAATCTCAGACACGTACACCTGTAAGACACACGCATCCCACCAGGTTTGCTAAGAATGCAGGTTCCCAGGCCTGGCCGAGATGGGAGAGGCAGCCCCTGGGAATCCCAGAAAGTGGGAAGTAGAGGCTTTCTGGTGGGGCTGTGTCTTGGTCATGACTCACTGCAGGATCTCAGGCAGCCTGTCTGATCTCCCTCTGTCCTCAGTTTCCCTGTGAGGTGGGTCAAGCACTCAGCTCTGAAATGGGCAGCATTATGCTGGGAAGGAGGCCCACGGGCTCCCAGGCTCCAGGGCTCAGCAGGTGAGTCTGTTCCTCCCAGTGAGTTTTGCCCCCTCTGCTGGGCTCATCAGGCCGCATGTGGAGCACCAGATAATCAGAAGGTTGGTTTGGTGGCTCATGCCTGTAATCCCAGCACTTTGGGAGACCGAGGAGGGTGGATTGCCTGAGGTCAGGAGTTCGACACCAGCCTGGCCAATGTGGTGAAGCCCCATCTCTACTAAAAATACAAAAATTAGCCAGGTGTGCTGGCGCATGCCTGTAATCCCAGCTACTCAGGAGGCTGGGGCAGGAGAATTGCTTGAGCCCGGGAGATGGAGGTTGAAGTGAGCTGAGATTATGCCACTGCACTCCAGCCTGGCTGACAGATCGACTCTTGAAAAAAAAGAAGGTCCCAGGGAGGTGCAGAGCAGGGACTTCCCTCTCCTACCCATTGCTCAATGTGGATTTTCTCCAATTGGGTAATACATGTGGTCAAGAAATGGGGTAGCAAGCTTGGAAAATCCAGAGTGAGGGCAACTGGGGACCTGAAGACAATCTCTCCCAAATCAGTTGCCCTGCTGAGGGTGAGCTGTGGCACCCTGGGCAGCGGCAGGGAAGGCAAACAATTCTCATTGCCCAGAAGGCATGGAGGCCAAAAGACCTCAGATGGAGGCCCGGCACCAATAAGGAGGCACTGGGGTGCCTGGGTGGGAAGGCCTGGGCTTACCGGGATGCAGGCAGCTGTGAGCCCCCCGGCAAAGCCCGTCAGCGTCCTTCCGAGCAGCAGCATCCAGAGGCCGTGGGCACCTGCCATGAGCGCGTAGCCGGCCGCCGATGGCACCGCCGAGAACATGATGCTCAGCTTCCGGCCCAGGAGGTCATTGAGGATCATGGCACTCAGGCCCCCTGCTGCTGCTCCCAGGGTGAACACGGACTGCAGGGGAAGGGGGTGCAGGGCAGGTTGTCTGGGCACGGGGACCACACTCTCACCAGAGTCCAGGGACGGCTTCTTCCCTAGGCCGACCCCAGGAGCACATGGGCCAGTTACCGCAGGGAGCCTCCTGTCTTCAAGGGGCAGCCATTTGTTAGCGATGCCCAAATGGGGAGTCCTGCTCTACGGAATAGGCAGTGCCGCATATCCACCATGGTGCTGTCCAGCCTGAGGTTTACGTGCCTAATATTTTCATCCAGGAGAACTCTGTGACTTGAAGGCTCATGGCTTTAACACTTGGAGGTTCTTAAGTTCCCTGTAGAGCAGCAACTTATCCACCCTGGACTCTGCTAACTAGTAGTGGGACCTGGGCACACTGCCCAACCTGTCTGAGCCTCAGTTTCTTCAGTTGCCTTACAGGGAGAGCACAAATTCTACCTCAAGGGATTGGCCCTGGGAGTCGGCGAACGCTCAGTGCCCAACACATGCCTGGCACATAGGAAGTGCTCAGTAAACCCTGGGAATTGCTATATTTGCCACTATGTTGTAACTCCACATTTGAGGCTACTGAGATTGTAATTCTAGACTCTGGGACTTGGGATCTTCCTCTCCATCTGCCCACAATGTGTCCTGTGGGCCCTCCATGCCCAGGCCAGTGCCTCTCCCCACTGACACCTGATACCCTTGCCCCCATCCAGCCAGTTGTAGGTGTGGGGACCAGGGGAAGCCTTAACCCCACCCAGCAGACCCTGACAGACACCTCCCCACCTGCTCCTTCCCTCACCCTCTCCACCGGCTTTCACTTCCTCATTTCAGAGGAATCCTGTGGCGTTAAGCCACCCACCAGCAGCCTGGATGGCTGGGGGAGGGGGGACAAGGGCCCTGGAGGGGTTTCCAAGGTGGAGAATTTGGGAGGTCCCTAGCTGGAGACAAGGTTCAGCAGGTCCCTGCTCCCTGAGCCCTCCCTGCTCCCTGAGCCCGCCCTCCTCCAGGGGATGGTCCTTACCCCGAACCAGGATGCCTGGGATTTGGTCAGATGCAGGTCAGGATCCAGGGAGTGCTCCAGGGCTGGGATGACCGGGGAAGTGTAGACCAGGGCATACCCAAAGCTGAAGTTGCCGAGCACGGCCGCGAAGGTGGCCAGGAATACCCTTTTGTTCTGCAGGGCCCTGGCGATGGTGGCAGACAAAAGGACCAGGGTCTCTGAGTCCGTCCTTCCGGGACCATTGCCTTTTCCGAACCCAGTGGCTGTCCAGCTCAGCGGGCAGTGCTGGGGAGGCCTGGGTCCAAGGCCATTCGGGTTCCCAGGGCCTGCGCCCCAGCTCCCTGGGAAATTCCCAGAGCGTTGTTAGCCCATGGCCGTGGCTGGGCCTCTGGTGCTGGGGCTTTTTCTCCGGAAGAGGAGGCTCTAGTTCTGCCCCCAAGTCTGCGGCGGAAGGCTTGCCGGTGACCTCAGCCAGGCCTCAGTCTCCCTGTCTGTGCCAGTGGGGGGCTGGGCCCGGCACTCCCGCGGGTCGTTCCTTCCCTTAGGGGGACCAGTTCCTTAAATAGGAGTAGCGTGTCTGGGACAGGAGGGAGCCAGGTGGCCCCTCGGTGGCCACTAGGTCAGAGAAGGCCCAGGGCGGGGGGCCTGCCCGGCTGGAGGGATCCCCCGCCACTCCCGAGCCCCACCCACAGCCCCCAGGCCAGCAACGCTCACCCGACTCGCGCCCTGTCCCCCGGCGACGGTGGCGGCCTCTCGGGGAAGGTGTCGTAGTCCGGACCCTCGGCTCCCAGCAGCGGCTCCTGCATGGCCGGGTGTGTCTCGGGGCGAGCGGAGGGCGCCCAGACAGCAGCAGCCGCACGGGGTCCGCAGCCCCGGGACACCGGCCAGGCTCCGCCCCTTGGCCGCGATTGGCTGCGGGGCGGCCCTGCGGAGCCTCACCGGCCAATGGGGAGGCCGCACGCTTTGCGGATGCTCGGCTGCGGACCCGGCTTTCGCGGGCGCGGCCGGCGCCTCGTGCGCCCCCCAAGGCCCCGCCCCCGAGACAGGCTGGGGGTCCCCGGGCGGAGCCCCTGCCGGAGCGTTCCAGGCCCAGGCGGAGCCCCGGAAGCGGCCCACCCCGCCCGGCTCTTGCAGGCGTGGCTGCGGCATTGAGCGCAGCCCCTGTGGTACCCCTACCCCGGGGGAGGAAACTGAGGCCCAGAGAGGCCAAGCCGCTCGCCGGGGTCACAGCGAGTGCGCCCCTCGCTCCGCCCCACGCTCAGCCCTCCAAGTCGCGTGGCGTCCCGGGACCACCTCTGCCCTGGCTCTCCCTGGCACCCGGGAATCGGGGTGTGTCAGGGCGGCAGCGGCTGTGGGGGACGAAGGCGGCAGGAGGGGCCGAGCGGGGCGCTGCGGGCGGCTCCAGCGGGCGAGGTCTGTATCCCCCACCCCAGGCTCTGATGGTAGAAATAACCTGAGCTTGTGACACATCACCCGGGTAGTAAGATAACATTGAGCAATAAGAAAAGCAGAAGCTGAAGATTCCCGGGAAGCCCATCCTCAAAAGATCCCACAGAGTTCCACTTCTCCCTTTGGGCCTTTTCGGGAAGAGAATGGAATCACACCCTGCTCTGCTGGACGGACGTGCCACACACGGCTTTTAAAGGGATCCTTTGTTGCTGAGTATTTGGGTCATTTCCCAATTTTAGCTATAGCATAGTAAAGCGTTTTTAAAAGTTAGAATTTCTTTTTATTATGATTTGAAATACAATCGTAATAGAACAATGCGTCTCCCATCAGCCTGACTTCGAAGGCATTTTAGCCTGTTTCCTTTCGGTCTTTTCCCTATGTGCCTATTTTGCCTATTTGCTTTTGGGGCCCACATTCAATTGTGTAGCCCTTTTACGTCATCCTTTTCTCGCCATCAAGAACACGGACTTTGGACTCAGGCCCACCCAGCATGGTGATCAGGCTGCACAGCCCTCATGTCCATATATCCGTATTTGGAGAGAGAGAGAGAGAGAGAGAGAGAGAGAGAGAGAGAGAGAGAGAGACACACACACACACACACACACACACACACACACACACACACAGGGAGTCTTGCTCTGTCGCCAGGCTGCAGTGCAGTGGCACCATCTCGGCTTACTGCAACCTCTGCCTCCCGGGTTCAAGCGATTCTCCTGCCTCAGCCTCTCAAGCAGCTGGGATTACAGGTGCAGGCCATCATGCCCGGCTAATTTTTGTATTTTTGTAGAGATGGGGTTTCACCATGTTGGCCAGCGTGGTCTCAAACTCCTCACCTCTCACCTCAAGTAATCCGCATGCCTTGGCCTCCCAAAGTGCTGGGATGGCCTTGCCCTGTCCCGCTCTCCTCCCCCGGCCTCACTACTCTGATTGCTATTACTGTGGATTTGATTTCCTTCTCTTCAATCTCATATAAATGGAACCATAATCTTTTGTTTCTGCTATTTTTAAAAAATGTATTTTTTTTTTCTTTTAAAATCAACTTTAGGCCAGGCACAGTGGTGTATGCCCATAATCCCAGCATTTAGGAGGCCGTCGGGGGAGGATTGCTTGAGCCCAGGAGTCTGACACCAGCTGGACAACAAAATGAGACCCTGTCTCTACAGAAAACTAAAAAAATTATCCAGGTGTGAGGGCTAGTGCCTGTGGTCCCAGTTACGGAGGCAGAGGTGGGAGGATTACGTGAGCCCAGGAACTGGAGGCTACAGTGAGCTGGGACCATGCCACAGCACCCCAGCCTGGGCAACAGAGGGAGAGCCTTCTGGAAAAACTAAAATACAAGAAAAATCAACATTATTAACGTAGAATTTATATACAGTAAAACAAGTCCATTTTAAGTATAGGTTGATGAGTTTTGACAATTGTATAATCTGGAACGCCCCTAATCAAGATATAAAACATTTCCACTTTTTTTCCTTTTGGTTTTTGTTTTGTTTTGTTTTGAGACAGGGTCTTGCTCTGTTGCCCAGGCTGGAGTGCAATGGTGTGATCTCGGCTCACTGCAACCTCCGATTCCCAGGTTCAAGCTATTCTCCTGCCTCAGCCTCCTGATTAGCTGGGATTATAGGCGCCCACCACCACACCTGGCTAATTTTTGTATTTTTAGTAGAGAGGGGGGTTTCACCATGTTGTCCAGGCTGGTCTGGAACTCACGACCTCAGGTGATCCGCCCACCTTGGCCTCCCAAAATGCTGGGATTACAGGCATGAATCACCTCGCCCGGCCCATTTCCCCCCTTCTAGAAGGTTTCTTTGTGCCTGTCTGAAGTCAACCTCCTTTCCCCCTCGCCAGTAAACTACTAATCTGCTTTCTGTGATGATAGAATCATCTTATAAAGAGAATCATATGTGACGTACTCCGTTTTGTCTGGCTTCTTTTTTCAGCACGTTTGTGAGATTTATCCGTGCCATTTTTTTCAGTAGTTTGTCCTTTTTTGCAGCTGCGTAGGGCAGTGTTGTACGGATGGAGCGCGGTTTTTGGCTAAACGGTTGGAGCCATTGGGAACTGGCTTGCGCAGAGCCCTGCTTAACAGCCCTTTGATGTTCTGCTGGGTAGATGAACCTGAATTTTTAATTACTCTTCTGTCATGGGCATCAAAGCTGTTTGAAACTCTAACGGTGGAAAAGGTAGAATCCTTTCCTCGTCCGTTGTTATGAGAGCAGAGATCCGCGTGCCTGCTCTGAAGTGACCCCGTGACACACCGTACACCACGGCAGGAGGGTTTGTGGCAGGGAAGAGCTTAGTGATCACAGAGCTCTGAGCGAGCAGACGGGAGGAAACCTTCAAATCCATCTCCCCAGGAGCTTTGGGCTGGGGCTTTTAAGGGACTCACGGAGGGTGATGGGCTGTAGAAGCGGCGTTGTTGATGGGTCTGGGTAAGGGAGGTAAAATCATCAGGTGGTAGAAACTGCATTCTTTGGTGGCTCAGGTCCTCCTGGGGTCCTTGAGACCAGCTGGCATCAGTGATTTCACTGGTACACAGGACCCACAAGAGCATCTCAAATGGAAACCTTGGCCAGGCGTGGTGGCTCACGTCTGTAATCCCAGCACTTTGGGAGGCCGAGGTGGGTGGATCACCTGAGGTCAGGAGTTCAAGAGCAGCCTGGCCAACATGGTGAAACCCCATCTCTTGTAAAAATACAAAGAATTAGCTGGGCGTGGTGGTGCGCACCTGTAATCCCAGGTGTTTGAGAGGCTGAGGCAGGAGAATTGCTTGAATCTGGGAGGCGAAGATTGCAGTCAGCCAAGATCATGCCATTGCACTCCAGCCTGGGCAACAAGAGTGACACTTCATCTCAAAAAAAAAAAAAAAAAAAAAAAGAAAAGAAAAGAAAAAGAAAGGAAGCCTTTCTAATATTCAAGTTGTCATCTCTGTGGCAGTGAAGGGGAACTGCAATCTTGCAACAGTCAGAGGGCAAGTAGAGCTGGTGGTGAATGCTGAGTTTGTTTCCATTTCTCCTCCTCTCTTCTTCCTTGATTAATTTCATAACGTTTATAGAGACGGTCTCATCATCATCAGGGCCATGGGTGACAGTTCTAGAACAAAAGACAGGTTAACAAGAGAAACGCACACCAGATGGATTTAATCAAAGCTGGATGTAGCTTGGAAGTGGTCGGAAAGGGAGACCCAGAGGCCCCGGGAAGACGGTTCCGGTGCTTAGGGTCAGTGAGGAGCGGGCAGCGTGTGGACGGGTGTGGGGATGGACTTCGGCGGGGCTGGGCGAGGCCGGCTGTGCAGGTGGTCCCTCTCGGCCTCTCCGCGCAGTGCCCCTCACTCCCAGGCATGGGGCAGGACCCCGGAGCGAGGGTCTTATGACCCACAGTCAGACAAGGTGAGCAGAAAACGTCTTCATGGCCAGCTCCTCCCCAGAAAGGCAGGGAGGGTTCGAGTCACGTTTCTAGGCCTCATGGCTGGTTTTGGGGGAAGAGGCTCTACTGTCCATGACCCGCCTGGGGAAAGAGGAATTCTGGCTTCTGTGACTTGGTGTGGGGGAGAAAGAGGGCGGGAGTCAGGAGGGGAGGAGGAGGTCGGAGAGAGGCTTGGGCTGCCCCAGAGGCCTTCTGGTCTCCTTTAGTCCTGAGTTCTCATGCCAGGCGCCCTGGGGGAATCGTGGTCTGAGCCCCAACAAAACATTTTTGCTTTTAAAATTAACATGATGGGGCCAGGCATGGTGGCTCACGCCTGTAATCCCAGCACTTTGGGAGGCTGAGGCAGGCGGATCACCTGAGGTCGGGAGTTAGAGACCAGCCTGGCCAGCATGGTGAAACCCCATCTCTACTAAAAATACAAAACTAGCTGGGTGTGGTGGCACATGCCTGCAATCCCAGCTACGAGGGAGGCTGAGGCAGGAGAATCACTTGAACCCGGGAAAGGGAGGTTGTCGTGAGCCAGTATCGTGCCATTGCACTCCAGCCTGGGCTGCAAAAGCAAAACCCGTCTCAAAAAAAAAAAAAAAAAAAAAAAGGAAAAAAAAAAAAAGAATGATAATCAACACGACGAATATCTTTGTTTTTAAATAGTAATTTCCTTCTGCAGGGACTGCTCTTGTGACCTCTAAAGCCTGTTTTAACCTTCTCATGGGCAAGCTCACCTTCCTTCCTCCTGTCCTCTCCTGTCTGTGGCAGACAGCCTGCTTGAAGACCTCTAAGTTGGTGTGGAGGCGCCCCCCAACCCACAGCGATGGGCACACAAAGGGTGTCTGGAAGCGCCTTGCTGACTTGAACTCAGAGTCCTCTCTGCTTTTGAGGCCTCCCACCCCAGGCAGGAATCTCAATTCAGAGCAGCAGAGAGAGCTGGTGTGTGGGAAGCCTGGCTCTGCTCTGTCGCCTGGGGCAGCCACCGCCCATTTCTGGTGGGGCCGCCACCGCCCCTTTCTGGTGGGGCCACACCCACATTGG